TCTATCTATCTATCTATCTATCTATCTATCTATCTATCTATCTATCTATCTATCTATCTATCTATCTATCTATCTATCTATCTATCTATCTATCTATCTATCTATCTATCTATCTATCTATCTATCTATCTATCTATCTATCTATCTATCTATCTATCTATCTATCTATCTATCTATCTAGCTATCTATCTATCTATCTATCTATCTATCTATCTATCTATTTATCTATCTATCTAATCTATCTATCTATCTATCTATCTATCTATCTATCTATCTATCTATCTATCTATCTATCTATCTATCTATCTATCTATCTATCTATCTATCTATCTATCTATCTATCTAGCTATCTATCTATCTATCTATCTATCTATCTATCTATCTATCTATCTATCTATCTATCTATCTATCTATCTATCTATCTATCTATCTATCTATCTATCTATCTATCTATCTATCTATCTATCTATCTATCTATCTATCTATCTATCTATCTATCTATCTATCTATCTATCTATCTATCTATCTATCTATCTCCCCCCTCCCATCCCGTCTCCCTCTCTTTCTTACAGTTTACGTGTCTTTGTCTTTGTTCCATCTCTCTCTCTGTCTCTCTTCCTCTCTCTCTCAATAAGTTTAAATCGGGTAAAATAAACTGTTGTTTGTCGTTATAAAACAATAAACAGTTTTTATATTACAATAAACTATTGTTGTTTGTTGTTATGTAACAATAAACTATTGTTGTTTGTTGTTATGTAACAATAAACTATTGTTGTTTGTTGTTATGTAACAATAAACTGTTGGTGTTTGTTGTTATATAGACAAGTTATTAGCGTCTCTTGTCACGACAACTGACCCATGGACACTGGGTGGGTCGTGTGGTGGACATCGCACAATGACCCACTGTTACTCCCTGCCACATGTGCTGGTACCCATTGTTGGCCAGCTGAACCTTCCAGTTAGTTCACAGACGGCAGTCCTGTCTTGTTGCGGACTGGAACCCATGACAGTGAGGCCAGCTAGCAACAACATTATCCCTGGCGCTCGCTGGTATCAGAACTGTATCCACAATTGTTTAACGGTCTTCCCTAATATAATGGGGAGCCGCTGTGGTGTGGCGGCTAGACATTCGAGAATGGGTTGGAAGGTCGTGGGTTCAAGTTCTAACGAAGTCAGACTTTAAAAAAGAAAAAGAAAAAAAATACTTTGGCTCCCAGGTCAAGCCAGCCTTAAGTGGTTTTCAGGTAAGGTCCTGGGAAGTAAAGGCGGATGGCGCGGTGCTGAGCACACTACATACCAAGTGGCGATTGGTCTACAAAATATAGATCTAGCCTTATATGCCCAAAACGTCTGAAGTCATGGAAGATGGCCAATGACTGATGTGTCATCGACCTGTGACATTATAACTGTATATGCATTTCCTCCAGGTCATGTGTTTGACGTAATACACACAACGATTGGATGAGGACGTCCATTACAAAGACCAGCATGTAAGAGGTTCACTGATTGGCCAGACTTTCTAAATCCGCACAATTGTTGTGACACAAATGTGACAGTTTGTGTGTGTGTTTACAGTATTGACGATAATAAAAGTGACTTTTGGAACTGACATCTCAGTCGTTGACATGTCTTGTATGTCAGTCGTCTATAGTTGTTGTCACATTGCTAGTGTGCCTTTGTGGCACCTCGCTGCTGTAACTTACTTTCCTCCCTGTTGTAAATGTGTTTGTCAGTGTGTTCGCCTGCATCTATCCCATCTGATTAAATTATTATGTTTTCCTCTGACAGCGGCAAGTCACCACGGTCGCCCGACACAGACAAGCACAATGGGCTCGGCTCTTTGTAATTCTAAGAGGGGGGGGGGGGGGGTGGAGAGGGCCCACGGCGCGGCAAGGCGGAGTATATTATGTATTTCATATAATATTAGACACTTTTCTATGCCTTCAGGCTAAAAGGGCATATAGGGCTAAACCTATATTCTATAGAGCAATCCACACTCGGTGGCTGAGTGGTCAACACCTGGTACCTGGCACCCATTTAAACCTATGTTGACCTGATAGCCAAAGTCGTTTTTGACAAAGCAAATTTCAGTCGTCAGGACCTTCAGATCAGCAAGAGAGTGTCTATCCGCTGCATCACGATGGCTTCCATTTGAAATAGCAGGAGATGTATAAATAAATACTTAAAATATGAGCTTACTTCGTCGTGGGGTAAGTGGGGGCAAGAAGGCGGGGGGGGGGGGGGAGTTGCTCTAGTTGGTTAACTTCATGGACTCCAGCGCCCCTGGTTCCGTCTCTTTCTGTTTCACTCCCCTCCATGTGTTTTTCTCTAATCCTCCTCTCGAGTTCTCTCACTTCTGTTTCTTCTCTTTCCTCTCTGCTTCTCTCTCTCTCTCTCTCTCTCTCTCTCTCTCTCTCTCTCTCTCTCTCTCTATCTCTCTCACACCTCTGCCCTTCCTCTGTCTTTCATTTCTGTCTCGCTTTTGTCTCTTATCTCTATCTCCCCTATCTCTCCCATCTCTGTCTCTCAGCTCTGTCTCTCTTCTCTCTCATCTGTCTCTAATCTTTGTCTTCTCTCTCTTTTCCTCTCGCTCTTTCTCATCTTTCTCCCCTCTATCTCATCTTTTTCTCGCCCCGTCTCTGATATATGTCTGTCCCCTCTTTCTCTCTTATCTCTGCCTCCCCTCTCTCTTCTCTTATAGGACCTCTAATCCCCCTCAGTGTTGTATATCTTATAGGACCTCTACTCCCCCTCAGTGTTGTATATCTTATAGGACCTCTACTCCCCCTCAGTATTGTATATCTTATAGGACCTCTACTCCCCCTCAGTGTTGTATATCTTATAGGACCTCTACTCCCCCCCCCCCCAGTGTTGTATATCTTATAGGACCTCTACTCCCCCCCCCCCCCCCCCCCAGTGTTGTATATCTTTCAGAACCTGTTCAGCCAAGTCCCTTTTTTCTTTTTTTTCCGTCGAATTAGTCTTTCTGTGTATGGATTCTCTTCTGTTGCACTGTCCATTTAATCCCAGAGGGAGCACTGTTCAAACAATGTTTTGTGCCTGGTAAACGACATCGTAGGTTTTTGCTGTATTAAATAATAATAACGAGTAGATACAAAATCAGTGACAGGCATGTCTCTAAAATTACACCAAACATCGACAACAGCCATGTCTTACAAGTTACAGCAAACATTATCAACAACAGCCATGTCCCCCAAGTAACACCAAACATTATCAACAACAGCCATGTCTCTTAACTTACAGCAAACATTATCAACAACAGCCATGTCTCTCAGCTTACAGCAAACATTGTCAACAACAGCCATGTCTCTCAGCTTACACCAAACATTATCAACAGCAGTCATGTCTCTCAGCTTACACCAAACATTATCAACAGCAGCCATGTCTCTCAGCTTACACCAAACATTATCAACAACAGTCATGTCTCTCAACTTACACCAAACCTCATCAACAACAGGCAGGTCTCTCAAGTTACACCAAACTTCATCAACAACAGCCATGTCTCTCAACTTACACCAAACTTCATCAACAACAGCCAGGTTTCTCAAGTTACACCAAATTTCATCAACCACAGCCATGTCTCTCGTTACACCAAACTTCATCAACAACAGTCAGGTCTCTCAGGTTACACCAAACATCAACAACAGCCTTGTCTTTCTAGTTACATCAAACTTCATCAACAACATCCATGTCTCTCAAGTTACACCAAACTTCATCACCAACAGCAGTGTCTCTCAAGTTACACCAAACTTCATCAACAACAGCCATATCTTTCAAGTTACACCAAAGTTCATTAATAACAGCCATGTCTCTCAAGCTACATCAAAATTCATCAACAACAGCCAGGTCTCTCAAGTTACACCAAACGTTTTCAACAACAGTCAAGTCTCTCAGGTTACACCAAACATCAACAACAACAGTTATGTCTCTCAAGTTACACCAAACATCAACAACAACAGTTATGTCTCTCAAGTTACACCAAACATCAACAACAACAGCCATGTCTCTCAAGTTAGGCCAAACATCAACAACAGCCTTGTCTCTCAAGTTACACCAAACCTCATCAACAACAGCCATGTCTCTCAAGTTACAGCAAACTTCATCAACAACAGCCATGTCTCTCAAGTTACACCAAACTTCATCAACAACAGCCATGTCTCTCAAGTTACACCAAACTTCATTAATAACAGCCATGTCTCTCAAGCTACATCAAACTTCATTTGGAACAGCCATGTCTCTCAAGTTACACAAAACATCATCAACAACAACCATGTCTCTCAAGTTACACCAAACATCATCAACAACAACCATGTCTCTTACGCGTTGAGAACATGTTTGAATGTGTCTTTTAAAAACGCATTGCAATGTGCCTCAGATGGATCTTGTAAAGATGTCCTAAAGTCTCATACAAAGCGCTACTGGTGCAGCTACAGAGTCTGGACTAGTGCGCCTACAGAGTCTAGACTTGTGCGCCTACAGTGTTTGGACTAGTGCACCTACAGTGTCTGGACTAGTGCACCTACAGTGTCTGGACTAGTGCACCTACAGAGTCTGGACTAGTGTGCCTACAGAGTCTGGACTAGTGCACCTACAGTGTCTGGACTAGTGCACCTACAGTGTCTGGACTAGTGCACCTACAGAGTCTGGACTAGTGTGCCTACAGAGTCTAGACTAGTGCACCTACAGAGTCTAGACTAGTGCGCCTACAGAGTCTAGACTAGTGCGCCTACAGAGTCTGGACTAGCGCACCTACAGAGTCTGGACTAGTGCACCTACAGAGTCTGGACTAGTGCACCTACAGAGTCTGGACTAGTGCACCTACAGAGTCTGGACTAGTGTACCTACAGAATCTGGACTAGTGCACCTACAGAGTCTGGACTAGTGCACCTACAGAGTCTGGAATAGTGCACCTACAGAGTCTGGACTAGTGCACCTACAGAGTCTGGACTAGTGCACCTACAGAGTCTGGACTAGTGCGCCTACAGAGTCTGGACTACGGAATGTTCTTTAATTCGGTGGATCTCTTTCTTAACGATGTGGAAGGAGTGGAGTGGCTTCTGTTGGAGCCAGAAGACCAGGATGGAGGAGATGTTTTCCAGGACACAGGACGCCATGGCACACAGGGGAGTGGCCGCTAGTAGCAGGCAGAACTTGGTCCGGCTATATTTGAGCTGACCGCTGAACGTCAGGAACGTGCCCAGCATGTACAGGTAGAGAACTGTCCCCATGACAAAGCTGTAGACGAATATCAGAGCTTGCGACATAGGCAGTGGCCAGACAATACCAAGGGGCAGCAGGAGAAGGTTGACAGGCATCAGGATGTTGGATACAGTCAACAACACCGGCCCAACTTTGTATCGCAAAGGGATATGTCTGCTGAGCATTGTCAGATATATACCATGCATCCATCGGCACCGCTGCAGAACGAAGTCCATGACAGTAAAGGTGCTCTTCTCCAGCATTTCTCCTTGGATGAACCCAAAGCTGTAGTGTTTGCTGAAGGCCACACAGGAGAAATAGCAGTCTTCTGCGATGGATGCTTCTGGCCCATGATCGAACGACACCTCCATTTCAGCTTGAGCGTTGGCAACTATGAAAGAACCTTTCCAACTGAAGATAGGCTTATGAAGAACGCCAAGTGTGAACCTGTAGCAACCGTAATCAACCCCGACCCTGATAGAATCGGCTAGGGTTGTGACCCAGTTGACAACTCCCCGTCCATAGGTGATAACTCCTTGTCCAAAATGATGTCTGCCCGAATCCACAAAGTTGACTATCCCGACAACAGACTCTTCCGTCAAGAGTGTCTCCTCGTCCAGATGGATGATCCAGTCAGAAGGTCCCAGTATATTCACTTCCGGTTCAAGGGCGTACTGCAAGGCTCGCGCCTTGAACAGAGTATCATTCCGTGTTTTGTAGCTGACCGGCACCACGACCTCCCGGACACGGTTACTGGCCTCTGCTTGAACCGGCATGTCTGTGACGACTTCTATGATAAAGTAGTGCAGGCCAACTTTCTCGCAGACTTCCATGTTGTGTCGGACATTCGCCTTGACCAAATTCGGGTAGATTCCCCGAGTTACGACCCGGAAGCACAAAAAAGGGCACATGATGGGAGGTTTCACCAGCTTTGGTTGAGGAGTAAAGACGTTGAGAAAGACAACTCCCAGAAAGTTGAAGACGGCGTAGGGAAAGGAAAAAATCACGGCGAACTGCATCAAGTAGAAGACGGAACTGATGAAAAGTCCGTAGCGCTCAATGGCACTGAAGTCGGATCCAGATAATTCTCTTCTGATTAAACTGGACAGGTAAATGAAGCCTAGGAGACTGATGACTGACATCAGATGCTTGAGTTGCCTTGCAACATTTGTACAAAAGTTACTCATTCTAACAATGTCAAAACAATTCCGAAGTTCTGTCGCAAAATTTGACCCGGTTCAAATGTAATTCAAGGGAGCTAATCCACAGATAACGAGAGCTGGCTTGGTCTCCCTTGATGCAACTTGTTGCCACAGAGAATACTGTACTGGTCTGACTCTGTATAGTGATTGATTTCAATATAACAACACATCTAACAGATCAATCTATGGACAACATGTCGCCCTAAAGCGGGGAGAAGTCACGGGAAGCCAAGTCGCCAACTCATCGATCCATTGGTTCTACGAGAGGCGGTGAAAGTCGTTCCTCGATGACGCAAACACCCAGTGCTCCGCAAAGTCTTCTCTGTACTGGGGATAAAACATCAACAAATCCGATCAGGCAAATGGACTAGAAATAAGTTATGATCAATTTAACGGTTATTTAAATTTGTTTTATTGTTGACACATTAAAACACACATACACGCATATGCACACACACACACACACACACACACACACACACAATCACCTACACATACACGCATACGCACACACAGACATTCTCCATAGCCTTAGAACTGAGCATTTATTGTCTCAGTCATATAAGTATATATCAAATAAGTTATAAAAGTATATATCAAATAAGTTATATAAGTATATATCAAATAAGTTATATAAGTATATATCAAATAAGTTATATAAGTATATATCAAATAAGTTATATAAGTATATATCAAATAAGTTATATAAGTATATATCAAATAAGTTATATAAGTATATATCAAATAAGTTTATATAAGTATATATCAAATAAGTTATATAAGTATATATCAAATAAGTTATATAAGTATATATCAAATAAGTTATATAAGTATATATCAAATAAGTTATATAAGTATATATCAAATAAGTTATATAAGTATATGTCTAAAAAGTTACATAAGTATATATCAAATAAGTTATATAAGTATATGTCAAAAAAGTTACATAAGTATATATCAAATAAGTTATATAAGTATATATCAAATAAGTTATATGAGTATATATCAAATAAGTTATATAAGTATATAAAAAAAATTATATAAGCATATAGCAAATAGGTTATGTAAGTATATATCAAATAAGATATATATGTATATAGCAAATAAGATCAGAGACCGCCATAAGATAAGTTTCAGGATCTGAGCAGAGACTGGCATAAGATAAGTTTCAGGATGTGATCAGAGACTGGCATTAGATAAGTTTCAGAAACTGATCAGAGAGTGGCATAAGATAACTTTCAGGATCTGATCAGTGACTGGTGTAAGATAAGTTTCAGGATCTGATCAGAGACTGGCATACGATAAGTTTCAGGATCTGATCAGTGACTGGCGTAAGATAAGTTTCAGGATCTGATCAGAGACTGGCATAAGATAAGTTTCAGGATCTGATCAGAGACTGGCATAAGATAAGTTTCAGGATCTGATCAGAGACTGGCATAAGATAAGTTTCAGGATCTGATCAGTGACTGACATATGATAAATTTCAGGATCTGATCAGAGACTGGCATAAGATAAGTTTCAGGATCTGATTAGAGTCTGCCATAAGATAAGTTTCAGGATTTGATCAGAGACTGGCGTAAGATAAGCTTCAAGATCTGATCAGAGACTGACATAAGATAAATTTCATGATCTAATCAAGACTGACGGACGATAAGTTTCACGATCTGATCAGAGACTGACGTAAGATATGTTTCAGCATCTGATCAGTAACTGGCGTATGATAAGTTTCAGCATCTGATCAGTGACTGGCATAAGATAAGTTTCAGGATCTGATCAGCGATTGGTGTAAGATAAGAGTCAGGATCTGATCAGTGACTTACGTAAGATAAGTTTCATAATCTGATCAGTGACTGGCGTAAGATAAGTTTCAGGATCTGATCTGTGACTTAATTAAGATAAGTTTCATAATCTGATCAGTGACTGGCGTAAGATAAGTTTCAGGATCTGATCAGTGACTGGCATAAAATAAGTTTCAGGATCTGATCAGACACTGGCATAATATAAGTTTCAGGATCTGATCAGTGACTGGCATAAGATACGTTTCAGAATCTGATCAGAGACTGGCATAAGATAAGTTTCAGGATCTGATCAAAGACTGGCATAAGACAAGTTTCAGGATCTGATCAGAGACTGGCATAAGATAAGTTTCAGGATCTGATCAGTGACTGGCGTAATATAAGTTTCAGGATCTGATCAGAGACTGGCATAAGATAAGTTTCAGGATCTGATCAGAGACTGGCATATGATAAATTTCAGGATCTGATCAGAGACTGGCTTAAGATAAGTTTCAGGATCTGATCAGAGACTGGCATATGATAAATTTCAGGATCTGATCAGATACTGGCATAATGTAAGTTTCAGGATCTGATTAGAGAATGGCATAAGATAAGTTTCAGGATCTGATCAGAGACTGGCGTAAGATAAGTTTTTTTCATAATCTGAGCAGAGACTGGCGTAAGATAAGTTTTTTTCATAATCTGATCAGAGACTGGCGTAAGATAGGTTTCATTATCTGAGAAGAGACTGGCGTAAGATAAGTTTCAGGATCTGCGCAGAGACTGTGCCGTTTATAAAAAAAAAAATGAATGAGAAAACTGCCCGAAAATAAAGTGATGTAGATATATGCAAAAATGCTTTTGGGTAAGCAGTGGATCTTTTCTCGCACCACAATTGAGACCCGGAACTCACACATAAGAGCTGGTGTCATTGACGCTATAGGAACTAGAATGGTGGGGCAGTAGTGAGCCTCTGATGTTATTTTAGAATTAACGCTGTAGGAACTAGAGTGGTGGTGCGGTGGTTATTCTCTGTTGCTGTTTAAGAATTAACGCTGTAGGAACTAGTGTGGTGGGGTTGTAGTGAGCCTCTGATGTTATTTTAGAATTAACGCTGTAGGAACTAGAGTGGTGGTGCGGTGGTTATTCTCTGTTGCTGTTTAAGAATTAACGCTGTAGGAACTAGTGTGGTGGGGTTGTGGTGAGTCTCTGTTGCTGTTTTAGAATTAACGCTGTAGGAACTAGAGTGGTGGGGCGGTGGTTAGTCTCTGTTGCTGTTTTAGAATTAACGCTGTAGGAACTAGACTGGTGGGGCGGTGGTTAGTCTCTGTTGCTGTTTTAGAATTAACGCTGTAGGAACTAGTGTGGTGGGGTTGTGGTGAGTCTCTGTTGCTGTTTTAGAATTAACGCTGTAGGAACTAGACTGGTGGGGCGGTGGTTAGTCTCTGTTGCTGTTTTAGAATTAACGCTGTAGGAACTAGTGTGGTGGGGCGGTGGTTAGTCTCTGTTGCTGTTTTAGAATTAACGCTGTAGGAACTAGTGTGGTAGGGTTGTGGTGAGTCTCTGTTGCTGTTTTAGAATTAACGCTGTAGGAACTAGACTGGTGGGGCGGTGGTTAGTCTCTGTTGCTGTTTAAGAATTAACGTTGTAGGAACTAGACTGGTGGGGTAGTGGTGAGTCTCTGATGCTGTTTTAGAATTAATGCTGTAGGAACTAGACTGGTGGGGCGGTGGTTAGTCTCTGTTGCTGTTTTAGAATTAACGTTGTAGGAACTAGACTGGTGGGGCGGTGGTTAGTCTCTGTTGCTGTTTTAGAATTAACGTTGTAGGAACTAGACTGGTGGGGCGGTGGTTAGTCTCTGTTGCTGTTTTAGAATTAACGTTGTAGGAACTAGATTGGTGGGGCGGTGGTTAGTCTCTGTTGCTGTTTTAGAATTAACGCTGTAGGAACTAGTGTGGTAGGGTTGTGGTGAGTCTCTGATGCTGTTTTAGAATTAACGCTGTAGGAACTAGACTGGTGGGGTAGTGGTGAGTCTCTGATGCTGTTTTAGAATTAATGCTGTAGGAACTAGTGTGGTAGGGTTGTGGTGAGTCTCTGTTGCTGTTTTAGAATTAACGCTGTAGGAACTAGAGTGGTGGGGCGGTGGTTAGTCTCTGTTGCTGTTTTAGAATTAACGCTGTAGGAACTAGTGTGGTAGGGTTGTGGTGAGTCTCTGATGCTGTTTTAGAATTAACGCTGTAGGAACTAGACTGGTAGGGTAGTGGTGAGTCTCTGATGCTGTTTTAGAATTAATGCTGTAGGAACTAGTGTGGTGGGGTTGTGGTGAGTCTCTGTTGCTGTTTTAGAATTAACGCTGTAGGAACTAGAGTGGTGGGGTAGTGGTGAGTCTCTGATGCTGACTTATTCTGTACCCACCTCGTTTGTGCCGCCCTTTCAGTACTACTACTATCTGTTTGTGCCCATCATACCCGTCTGTGCAATGCTCTTATGTTTAACATTACCGTTCTTTCTTCTTCTTGTCATTATTATTTAATATTATTATTATCACTATTTTACTCGTTTTCATTCTTGTATATTTGACTTTATCGCTCGCCCTGTTTACTAGCTGTCTGTTTCCTTGTTTACATCAACGGGGCTTTTTCACGAATACGTCAGTTGAGTGATTGTGTGTACTCACGTGGATTTGTTTGATATATGTAATGTGCTGATAAAGGCTCTGTAGCCGCAACGTTCATTTTCCGTTTGCGTTTGTTATATTGTGAGGCTAGCTTGTCTACTTTTCGTTTGCACTAGACTTGTGAACGGTAGCAAGTCGCTTATGCTAACTTGACTGCGTGATCTGGAAGTGAAGTATCACAAAGCGCGTCGGTGCCGTCTTATAATTTAAAAAAGGCGATTAAAAAAAAAAAAAAAACTCGTGGGGTCAATAAGTAGAGGTAGCTTGAGATGGCTGCCGGATGGTAGGACTATTCGCGTATGTGACTAAGTAAAGTGCATTGAGGTGGAGTATGATAACAACTTCTACAAACTAAAATAATACACATACCTTGATATTTGCCAGTAGAATGAGTCTAAATACTGAGTCTGTCATGTCGTGAATTCCTTGGCCCAGTCGCTAAATGGTTCGCTCTGCTTATCACATATGACCAGTTCCTGTGTTCACAATGTACAGTTCTTGTGTTCACAAAGTACAGTTCCTGTGTTCACAGA